CAGCACCCAGCCTCAGCCAGATTCTAGATGTCGTGGGTCACTGGGGCAGTAATTGTGTGACGGTGTGGTCACACTCCACACAGTTGTTTGCACATCTGCTGGCAGTTCTGGGAGCTAGAGTTGGATGGTCCCCGGCCCCACTTTCCACAGGCCCCCATAGCATAGGTATGTCCAGGGCGAGTCTGCTGGAGATCCCGCTGCCAGCCAGCAATCTGCAGGACACAGTGGAAACTCGCTCCAACTCCAGGGACTGATAAACTCGAGTTCGAGTCACAGCTCTGCCACGAGCCAGCTGCAAATCAGTAGCTTCAAATCAGCCATGCTGGGAACAGTCACTCCACAGAAGTCCACAAACACTGCGGACGGGTTCTTTCTTTCCATTGTGAGCCAGTTGTTAACTTTTGCAAGCACACCACTAAACTTTGTAAGTTATACGTCTCTCACGTCTGTAATGTGGGGATGATAGTAATGATGATGATGTGGGGGTGACTCTGTGGTTAGGATGCAAATAGAATGGGTATAAATAGAATAACAATTAACGATTTAAACAATTTACCAGTTCGTTTGTCTCTCCCTTAGGAGTCTGAGTGGGCACCTCTGTTATTGTCACCTTCCCCTGGGGCCCGTTCACCTCTCCTGAGACCACGGCATCATCTCAGTCTGAGCTTCTGCTCTGACTCCCCTGTTTGGGGAACTCTGTCTCTTCTGGGGCTGGGACAGAAGGCTGTGCTGTGACCCAGTGGGTTCCTCCTGCTCTTGATCCAGAGGTGCTTGATACTTTGGAGCCTTGTTTCTGTTTCTTCCAAAACCTCACTTTTCCGGAGGCAACAAGTGGCTCAGGTCGAAATGATAGCATGGAAGGGAGGGGTGTTGGGGTTTTTAGGGGGCTGGTTAATGCGTTGAAATGATATCCTTCCACATCTGGAACTATGAAGTGGAGTCGCAGAGTGACAGGCCGTCAAGGATGATGACGATGACGATCGTAATAACAGTAAAGACAGCACCAAGTGCCAAATGGGGCTCTGAGAACTCTAAACTGATGATCTAAAGCGTTTTCTAACTCACTCAGTCCTACGGCCACCCTACGCGGTAGGCGCATTATTGGCCCACTCATCAGACTCGGAGAGGACGGTCCTACGGCCACCCTACGCGGTAGGCGCATTATTGTGCCCACTCATCAGACGAGGAAATCAAGACTCGGAGAGGACAGGCAGGGACGTGTCAAGACTCAAATAGCTCACAGAAGAGACGCTGGAGACCTGGGGAGGGGAGCAGCACAGCCAGTGACGGAGGGCCTGAGGCTCCCGGGGTCCCACCTGCTGCCCCTTCTGTGCGCTGGTCACCCCAAAGCACCACCAACGCCCTTCAAGGCACTTATCTAGACCTGTGGGTAATTTCCCACACCATCGTTTAAAAAAAAAAAAAAAAAAAGCCCGTCCTCAGAAAGCATGTAATGTTTTGTGCAAGGTTACAGTTCACATCAAAGGACAGCGTCACCTAGTGACATCTGTAGTCGCTCCTTTTCTTTCTACGCAAAGCGCAGCACCCCGGGCGACCCCGAGCTGCCTCTCCAGTGGGCTGCCCTTCGCCCCACGCTGCTTGTCTTCATTCCCTCACCTTCCTTCCATTTCCCTCTCTATTTTCTTCTCGTCTGACATTCCTCGATAATCTTTTTGCCAAGCACAGCGGAGAACGAGATAAACTCCATTCTTCTCTCTGAGTTTAAAATGTCTGGGGAAGAGCAACGATCGAACAAGTGTAAAAATCGTAGTGGCTGACCCGTTCCGAGTCCCCGTTCTGTGCAGGTCCTGGGCTCCAGTCCCCACAGCAAGCAGTGGAGCGGTGGTGGGTGTCCTTCCTGTCCTTCCTACCACCACAGCTACGCCCGCCGCCATGTAGCAAACTCAGCACCACAGCGATTCAGGCAGGTGAGCTGCACGGGATCATGCTGTCTGTGAACAGCAGAGCTGTGCTCAGCCTTCATCCCTCCTCACTGCAGGGCCTGAGGTCTCAGTTGCACCCAAAGCATGCCCTGGTCCTCCACGTTTCCTGCCAGGAAGCACCGGGGACTAGTGAGAGGGTCATCAGCCCTTGCCATACCTGCCGCCAAGCCTTAGCCACTCACCAGACAGCTGTCAAGATCCTGCAGATCTGTTATTTTCACTGGTGAATCTGGTGGTGAGGGCTGCATTTGTGCAAGGAAACCAGCTCTTTCCAGAATGGCAAACGCAGCACAGCAGAAAGACAGGCAGACCCGGGCGTGTATCCTGGCTCCCTCTCCGAGAGCTGAGCACATCGTGTGAGCTTTCATGCAGCTTCGGTGTCACCTCCTCCGTGAAGCCTCTGCTGGTCCCGACATGAGTGGTTCCCTCAAACCCAGCTGCACATTGCAAACTCCCAGGTGACTTCAGTGGGACTCCAAGCTGAGAAACATTGGCTGGACTATTTCCCGTTCTTTGACATGTCAACGACTGAACTTTGGGCATCTTAGCAGCAAAGTTTGAGTGACCAGGGAGAGGAGGGGCTCTCTCCTTAAACATCAGCTCCTTTGTTAAACGTCAGCTCCTTCACTCACTGGCCCCTCTTCCGCGGCTGAGGCTCTCAGCAGAGCCCAAGGAGGTGCCAGCATGAGGTGTAGAGGAAAATGATCTCAGGATAAGAAGCCACGAGAACTGGGAGTGTAGGAGGATCAAGGAATCAGTTCAAGGTTAAGGCTGTGAGACACAGGCAGATGTGGGAGGCCCAGTGCATGGTGGGGCTGGCATTTATTGACCCAGAGGCCCTGGGCGTGGCCGGGCAGGTGGCCCTCTGCAATGAGGCCCTCTGGTCCAGCCTATCAGCCAGTGTTTGAATCCAGCTGCAGCTTCGTGACTGGCGACACTCCGGCCTTAAGCACCTCTGTGGATGGGAGACTCAACTAGAGTTCTCGTTAGATACATATGCAACATTAGTTGGAAGAGCGAAACAACTGGAAAACACCTAAACGTTTATCAATAGGATATGAATATTATTTTTTTAAAAACAACCGTAAGGAAAAAAGATGAGTGAGATTAATGTATACTGCTAGAGAGAGATGTTGGAAATCTACAAGTTAAAAAATCAGGTTGTAAAAAATAGGTTTAATTTGAGACAATTTACATAAAAAGGTATTAATTCTGAAAAGGTAAACATGAAACTGCTAACAGTGATGGTGCTGCTACGTGAAGGTGTAATTATAGGGGAGCTCTGGCTCTCTTTATGGGTTGGAAAAAAAATTTTTTTTGGAACAAACCTGTGCTATCAAGAAAATAACAAAGATGTTTCCACTAAAAGCCAGAAAAAAAAAAAAAAAGGGACATTTTTCTTTATATTGAACCTTCCCATAGCATCAACACTCAGGCTTTGTTCTGCCATCTGGGGCCACCCAGGCCACAGAAGATATTAGTTAACAAAGACTGTGTTCAGAGTTTGCTCCCTGAGAAGCTCAGGCCTGGTCCCTTAGTCCGGACAGCCTGGGCAACCCTCGGGTGGCATTTGGCCAACGCCTGTCATTTTCTAACGCAAGCGTGAGCTTGTCTTCCTACTAGACGGGAAGCTCTCTGGGGGCAGAGACCATGAAGTGACATACTGTCCCCCACACAGCATCTGGTGCAAACCAACAGGGTAGAGCCTCGGGGAGTTCCTGTCGGGGGATTGAATGAGTGACCTGGGAGGACCAAAATTGCCAGTGCAGAGTGTTCCTCCCCCTTCTACTAAGGCCGTATATTTCTGGCATTGCTTGCGTGTCACTTACCACCTTCCCCACGTGTCCTCCAGCCTCTGCACACCATGGCTGAGCGATCAGGAATGAGAGGAGATGGAAAGAATCAGAAAACAGGGGTGAGGCACTGGAGGGTTGAGACTTCCTTGCATGAGAGCGAAGAGGGTCGCAGTGGAAAGGAAAGCAGAGCGGAGGAATGGGGAGACGACACAGAGGGCGCTGGAGAGTTTAGGGGAAGCACTGAAAGTGAGACATGGGGCAAGAGAGGTTTCGGGACAGCTGCGAGGCTAGCGGAAGGCCAAGGGGCGTGGAGGAGGTGCAGCCGCAGGTGCAGAGCTGGGGGCGCGTTCGGCGATGTAATGATTACGATGGTTTCTATGTCAGGGAACCAGACTTTCTCCGAGGGTGATGTGATACACGTTTGGACTGGACCACACGGAGCTCTGGGATTTGTTGGGGTTACGAATGGATGAGTGCAATGTGGGCACGCGGCCCTGCCCGCTCCCTCTGGGTCGGTCATCGGTGGGGGTGGGGTGAGGGTCTGGGTCTGGAGCCAGGCTCTGCTCCGTGCTTGTCATCTCCTGTCACGTCCGTGGAGGCAGCCCCCTCTGGAACCGTGGCGACCTTGAGGTGCCACACATGAGAAACGCATGTTGTTGGTGGGAAAGAGCACTGTGCCAGATGTCAGAAGCCCAGGGCTTTGTTTATATGTAGAAATAGTTAGGAAATGTTTTAATTTAGTTGAGCAAGGTGACGCTGCTGAAAAAAGTCCATTGCCCCCAAGTCAGAAAATAGAGGTAAGTTGAAAAAGAAGGCTTCAGATTTTATCTACTATATTGTCATTATTTAAGATTAATCACCATTAAGCTTTTGGTACATATTCACTCAAATAATTTTTCGTAATATCAGTGCATAATTTTGAAACAAACCTAACTGTACACATTCTTTTGTAATTTACCATTTGCACATATTTGAATTTTTTTGTGTGTGGGAGCACATGGGTTTAGATCCCTGTTCCACCTCTAATTTATTAGCTGTGTGGCACCCGGTCAGTCACGTCACCTACCAGCACCTCAGTTTCTTCATCGATAAAGTAGAGATAATGACGCCCACCTTAGTAAGGGACTCATGGGCAGGGGCACAAAGCCGGTTTGCGAAAGGTTCTCCGGGGTTGGAGAGCTGCCCTCCTTCAGATCCTGGGTCACTGCCGTCTCAGCCTGCTCTTCCTCACACAGGCTCTTGTGTCCTTTTTTTTTTCCAGGATTGAGAAAGGGGATGGGAACGAGGAGGAGGACCTGCGCTTGGACTGCCGCCATGAGCGATACCCCGCCCGTAAGTGGCCTCTTCCTCGGGAGCCTCTGCTACAGACTCCGAGGAGAAAGAACCCTGGAGATAAGCCAGGCCAACCTCTCCCTGCACCCTGCCTTTCCCCCACAGAAACGTGCTACAGATGGGGAAACCGAGGCTGGTGCTCTGCACACGGCAGCCACGGCCCTCGCGTTGGGGGCGGGAATGCCCAGGAAGCGAGAGGGAGGCTGGAGCATTTGAAGATGGGCAGGTGGACTTCAGCTCAAGTCCAGGCCTGGGCCAGATGTTGGCCCAAAGGCAGAACAGCAAGTGGGTCAAACTGGCCAAGTCAGGGAGATGGCAGCGGACAAGATTTGTCCGAGCCGTAAATGCTCCTGGCGGCTTAGGATGTATTGACTTCATAAGCCTCACTCTGGGGGACACCACAGACAGAATCTAGGGCACCCATTCGGAAAACAGAAGTCTGGGCCAGAAGGCAAAGGGGAGGTAAAAAGAGAGAAGGGCCTCGTTCCAGACAGGAAAGGGAAGAGCCTATGTGAGGTTAAAGTAACCCGAGCCTGCTGACCGCCCACCCCGCCCCATACCGAGGGCTCTTTGTGCCTCATCTCGTATTCTCGCTGCCCCTCAACCCCTACGGAAGTTACTATCCATATTTTGTAGATGAGGAAATTAAAGCTCAGCGAGGTGGAGTGACTCACCCAAGGTCACACAGCTCAGCAGCAGAGCAGTTAGAGCAGACCCTGCCAGTGCCCTGCCCACATCTCTCAGCAGTTTTAGGGAACTCAGGTGTCTTCCAGGCCTCCATGTCTCCGTGCCTGCGGGAGCTCCCTCGCCCCAGGATTAGCAGTGCCGGGTGGGCCGCCCGCTCCCCTGTGCCACTTCCCTTTTCTCCGCCCAGTTTCCCCGCATCTCCTTAAGGTCTCCCCGACACTCGAATTCCTACCCGAGGGTCTGCTTCTGGGGAGACTGAAACCGAGACGGGATTTAAACTCAGGTCTGTCTCACTCCCAATCCTGTGGTCCTAGTAACTGGCTGAGAAATGGCTCTGACCGGAGGGGTAAGACGGAGGTGGGTGAGGAGCGTGGGAGGAGGCCTGGCTGGAAAAGAGGGGAGGCCCCTGTGGGAGGCACCGGCCCAGGACGAGGACCTGCCTGAGGAACAAAGGGTGGCACTGCAGTGGACACTGGACTCACACACCGCGGTTTCATGACAGGTGTCAGTGCTAGGGTGGAGAGCTTCCTGGAGGAAGGGGTCGAGAACCAGGCCATGGAGGCAGCTGGGGCGCACCCGCCCCAGGGACAACAGAGGGGAGCAGAAATCCACCAGAGGGGCTCAGGAAGCACATAGTAGGGACAAAAGCTGAGAGCCCCTGGCGCTGGCTCCCTTACTTGGCCTGAGCCTCCCCAAGCTCCCTGAAGCAGGCAAGAAACCCAGGGTGGAAAGAGGCCGGGAATGGGGGGCAGCTGAGGACCTGGGAGAAGGAAAGGCCACATCCCTGAGGATGAAAGAGAGGGGAGCTAGTCTGGCCCTCAAAGCAAACCCTGGAATCAAGAATGAGGGTACCCGGGGTCAGGGGAACACAGAAGTCTCCTATCCCCAGGCCGAGTCCCACGGCCTCACCCCCGACCTGGCACCTGCCTTATCTCCTCGGCATGAAAGGAGCTAGGTCAACAGCCTGCGAAGAATTCCATCTTTCCTTCCTTCGACAAATATGTATCGATTA